TGTTTTTCCCTTCAGTGAGAGGAGAGGTTGGCTGCTGCTCTAGCTTTTCACTGGCAGTGTTGCGTCTGGAGTAAAATGCAGTGGAGACAACACAGATAGATGATGGCACTGAGTCTGGCAGTCTACATCCTTCCTCCCCAAGCCTGAGTGTCTCCCATTGTTACCAAGACACTTGAGCACCTCATTCCTAAAACTCATTACTTTCTTTTTCTAGCTGTTTTTTGCTGCTCACTTCCAGTTACCATTGATGACATCATTCTTTCTCAAGCCTCTTTACCTCATTTATCTAAGCTACCTTTGGCTCTCCTCTCCCCTTCACACTCACAGGCAGCTACCCCTCTTTCTGCTTATTGATAATTTATATTCCATCTAGTCCCAAATCAGATCTGAAATGGCTTTCAGTAAGAGACAAATATACAAGACCACTAAAATGAATAAAATGATGAAGAAGGAAGGGGAGGCCTGGTGTGAAGGCTCGTCACTGTAATCTCAGCACATTGGGAGGCCAAAGCAGGAGGACTGCTTGAAGCCAGGAGTTTGAGACCAGCCCAGGCAACATAGCAGGACTGTGTCTCAAAAAAAAAAAAAAAGAAAGAAAGAAAAAAAAATTTTTAACAGTTGCTTCAAAATATTAAGGGGGCACAATTTTTTTTTTTTTTTTTGAGACAGTCTCATTTTGTTGCCCTCAGTAGAGTACTGTGGCATCATAGCTCACAGCAACCTCAAATTCTTGGGCTTAAATGATTTTCTTGCCTCAGCCTCCCAAGTAGCTGAGACTACAGGTGCCTGCCACAACACCTGGCTATTTTTTTAAGAGACAGGGTCTCGCTCTGGCTCAGGCTGGTCTCAAACTTGTGAGCTCAGGCAATCTACTCTCCATGGCCTCCCAGAGTTCTAGGATTACAAGCATGAGCCACCATACTTGGCCAGGCACAAAAAATTTTGTTATATACTTTCTGTTATGCTGAAGTCAGGGTTTTCAGGATGCTTGCCACTAGGACAGTGATCACCATACCCAACAGGTAAGTTTTTATACCTCACTACCCTGCAGCTTCCTCTTAGTTTCCAGGGTCCTTTACATCTTGCTGTGCCCATATGCACCCACCATTTAGCTCCCACTTACTGGGGAGAATTTGTGGGTTTTGTTTTTCCGTTCCTGAGATACTTCACTTAGGATAATGGTCTCTAGTTCCAGCCAAGCTGCTGCAAATGATAGTTCATTCCTTCTTATGGCTGAGTAGTACTCCAGAGTATCTACACACCACATTTTTAGAAAAAAGTTTTAAACAACTGGCTGGGCATGGTGACACACACCTGTAGTCCTAACTATAAATCATGAGGCATGCCTAATGCACAGGGAGGGCTAATGTAGGATTGCTGCAACTCAGTAGTTCAAGGCTGCAGTGAGCTATGATTATGCCACTGTCCTCTAGCCTGTGTGACAGAATAAGACCATGTCTCAAAAAAACATAAAACAGAAAAATTTTTTTAAAAGGGAGAGGACAATCAAACTCAAATCTTACTATCTAAGAAGTAATTCTACTTCAGTCCCTGACCACAGGAGTTCTAGAAAACTACTGCAGCCACTAAAGTTGTCTGCCTATGACCTATCCCATTCTAAACTGTGACATCCAGGGGTGGCAGCCATCTTTCTGAAGGATTATCTCCAGCCTTCTTTTACTTTCATCTGGTATCAGACTTCAGTGTGGGTGCAACACTGCTGTCAAACCACAGACCTCCCGGGGCCACCTTGCCTCCAGCTTTGGCCCTAGATTCAGCTCTCACCTTGGAGTGCCCCACCCACCAATCAAATGTGCATGCCACATGTCCACAGACCAGCTAAACTGACAAGTTTTATTCTTATTTTGTGCCATGAGTAGTATTATACTTAGAGGTCTGGTGAAGACTATGGACCCTATCTTAGAAAAATATTTTCAAATGCATAAAATAAAATACACAGGATTACAAAGGAAACCAATCACATAGAAATATAAAATACCAAAATAATTTTCAAAAAATGTGATAGGTACTATTTATTAACGTGGTAACTGTGGTAGGCCTAACAATTATTTCCATTTTAAAGCAGTGATGAGTATAAATACTATTTTGAGATACCTGAAGCAACTGTAAACTGATACGAAAGTATCAGGAATTCTACTGAAGACAAAGTCATAGGTACCCCAGTAACTGGCTTGTTGTCTACATTCATAATTGAAGGAAATGCTTCATTTTAGAGAGGTGTTAACCAAGATAAAATTATTTTCCCATCTATATTCATAAAACCTCTGGATTCTATACACTGATTCCAGGTTAAGATCCCCAGTTTAGCCTATTAGTCCTGCTCTTGGAAGGCAGGCAGGCAGGCAGGACAAACTGTCCCCATTTTAAAGGACTTGTCCAGCCAGCAAATGGTGAAGCCTGGACACCAACATAGGCCTTAACTCCTGCTGTATGGTTTTGTCTGTCCTACTGTGGCATTTCCAACTGCTGGGAAATGCTGTACAACACACTTCTCCCTGTTTATTCTTCAGGTGTTTGTCCTGGTCCGCCTTCTCTCTACAATTCTTCTAGAATGGTGAACTAATAATGTACCCGGCTTGCCTTTGGGCTCAGACCTACTCCGACCTACCTGACACCACATCACTGTTGTAGGACAGGGCATAACGCTCATCAAAAACAAACAACTTTCCTTTGTAAAAACCATTAGGAAACTCTTCCAGGTACTTGTGGATGCCACCCTTGAGCTGGAACACTTCCTTGCACACTCCCTAGGTGTGGAAAAACAATAGGAAATCTGAAGAGCCAAGCAGAGACCTGTTAAGAGACCCCACAGAGGAGCAACACCTGGCAAGGAGGGTCCACATGGAGCATCCCGGTCTGCAGTCAGTCAGGGGCTCCCACTCCCCACCTCCTCGCCGTGGGGCCCTGAGCAACTGCTGACCAAGGGGTCAAGGCACCAACTGGTCAGACCTTGCCTCCTAGGGGGATGGGTGATGACAGCAGTCAGGGCCTCTACCCCCTAGATCCTGGGAAGCCCAACTATTTTTGCTACCCCCTAAATATAGGAAGACACCTGTTGGGATATGTAATGTTACCTCAGGATCAAGTGAAAGGATTAGAAAAAGGGAGACGTTTACTAATCTTTCCCTTTTATACTTGATGAGTCTCTAAGACTGCTAAGTGTTTTTTACATCTTAAGATTAAAGAACTTCGGATTTTGTACTTATAAACTCTATGCTAGAGCCATAGAAGGGGGAAAATAAATCCTTCAACTGGCTAGGGATGGGGTCAGTAATGGGGGAAAGAATGGAAAGCTCCACACAGGCTATTGGTGATGCTTTCTTCACCTCTATCCCCACAGTGCCTCAAGGGTGGGGGCCTCACCTTGGCTTTGATGTAGGCTGAACCCCGCTCACAACGAATGCCCCCAGTGCAGTACATCAGCACCGTCTTCTCTCTGAAAAGTTCTAGATTTTTGTCAATGTAGCTAGGAAAATAACTGAATTTCCTGATGTCTGGGGCTAAGCAGCCCTGGAATCGTCCCTACAACATAGGAGTAGCAAAAAGAAAATTATCAGAAAAACATACCTGGTGGAAACAAAGGTTCTTTCTGGGTCAAACAACCCCCACGTGGCAAAGAAGCAAAGAAGCCCTTGCTAGTTGCCATTCTCATCCCTTTCAACATCATGTCTGACCTTTCAACTTCAAGATCTGGAACTTAAAACCAAGGCTGGTGAACTATGGGTCACCTTCCAGAGTCCTCCAGAAAACTGGAGAGGCTGCCCAAAGCCAATTTTTACAAGATCCTTGACACATGTCAAGGATAGTATATAATGTGGCAAGATATCTTTAATTCATAATTTCTTTCTTTTTGGGGGCGGGGGGAATAGAGACTCACTTTGTCACTCTGGGTAGAGTGCTGTGGTGTCACAGCTCATAGCAACCTCAGTCTCTTGAGCTCAAGCAATCTGCTTTATAGGCACCCACCACAATGTCTAGCTGTACTTTAGAGATGGGATCTCGCTCTTGGTCAGGCGGGTCTCCAACTCCTGAGCTCAAGCAATTTACTCCCCTCTGCCTCCCAAAGTGCTAGGATTACTGGCGTGAGCTACCATGCCCAGCCTTTAATTCATGTTTCTTACAAATTCTCAAGAGATCTGGAGTTCAAGGGCTTGAATATTCTCTAAAGCTACTAGTACTGGGTAGGTACACACAGCATCCTCTTGGGAAATAAACCATCCTGCAGGAAGGGAGAGCTCTACCAATTCCCTGAACTCAGTCCTGGCTCTTACTTACTATTTTGCTTTCATAGAAGTTTCTGCAATCCAGAAGGATAGTATCCCTTTTTTCTTGATTTGCCTGAGATAAAAACTTTTCTACTTCTTTATGAAATTCACCTGGGGATAAATGAATTCCTAAAAAAAAAAAAAAAAAAAATTATGTTTAAACAAAGCAAAAAGAAAACTCTAAAACTTTATTACCTAGCCTGACTTACATTTTGCTTGCCTTCCACCCAAACCTCTTCATAACTGCAATTGTCAGAACATAACACTATGCACTGACCATGATGAAATAATTTGGTAATTCCAGGTATCCTTGATCTCCCTCCTCCTAAGATGAGGACTATGGAGATCTAATAGTTTAGAAATAATTACTCAAAGAATTTTGCATCCTCACACTTGAACAAACCCCGGTGATAAAAACCACTAGGTAAGTGGGATATAAATTGCCATATGGGCTGATGATTCATTGTATTGTCACTAGCAGGTCAAGAAATGGCCATTGTTCTATCGTCAGGGCATATGGAAGAGCTGGGCATGTACGTGCTTGACTACAGGCTTTATAAACTGTCCTATACCAAGGTTGAGCCCAAGTTCAAGGCTAAGAACCCTGGCATGGGCAGGTGTGAGCATAAAGCTATGGAATAAAGGTGGTATATATATTACATTTTTTAAAAATACAAAAGGGTAAGAAAAATGTGTCTAAGTGTATGTGTGCGAGTGAAGAAGGGCCAGAGGGGTGGACAACAGGAATGACACATGAGAAAGAACAGTGAAGAAGAGAAAAGGACAGAAGAGCTAGAAGATGGAATGGAGAAACACTAAAACACAAGAGGACTGAAAGGACAGACCCTCAGGCTGCTAGGGCCCTTTGCCTCACGACTCTCCAGAGTAGAACTATTACTCTATTTTTGAGTGTCACAGACATCTCAGTAGATTGTGAGGAATTGTTACTGAATTTGTACTGTGGAGTAACCACACCTCAAAGGTGGGGACTCTGGTGACTCGTTTAGATACCACTCATGATAGAGCTTTATGGCACCAAAGGAGCCTCAATCCCCTCAGGGATGACCTCAACACGACCACCTGAAACTGCCCTATACCTAAGAGAGAGGAAGCCCCAGGAATCTGGATTTCTACCTGCCTGACCTAGGACTGTAGGGAGAATGCAACAAGGCCATATTCTATATAAAGTATTATCATCTAATTGCATGGACACCAAAACAGTGAGGCAAAAAGGGATGCTCAAAAATGTGATAAATGCACTGAAATCTGCTAAGACTTCTGCTTGCAGGCAGCCACAGGGAACCAAACTTGCTCCCACTGCTGCTATTACTACCGGTGCTCTACTGGTCCCAAGAAGGCCTATTTGGTCAGTGACCCGTTGGACTTATTTTAAAAGGTCCCTGGGTTCAACCTGGTTCAAATGAAAGCACAACAGCACTCAGGGCCTAGAGCCCTCTCTCCTCTAAACTCCTAAGCAACGTCTTACAGTGCTCAGGAAGAGCTGTTTGTAGTCACACTGCCTGCACTAAGAGGGTGACACTAAGCAGACACAGCTCTTCCTGGCCATCACCTCCCCATGCATGAGTCTCCTTACACAGATGCTGATATTACTCCCATTTCCCTCTAGCTTACTACTTAACTTTACTTCACTTTATTCACATTTAAAAAAATGAACACCATGATGTTAACTATACTTTGATATTACAAGTATAGTATAGTAATACTGATATTACTCCCATTTCCCTCTAGCTTACTTCTAACTTTACTTACTTTATTTACATTTGAAAAAATGAACACCATGATGTCAACTATACTTTGTGCTTCCTCATGAAAGAAGATAATACTAGCTATGAAGTCATCTTGGAAGAGGGGAAAGGAAAAAAGGAATCAAATTGAATCCAATCAAGTCTCTAGTCCTGAGATGTCTAATATGGTTGCCAATAGCTACCATGGCTGACAAGCACTTGAAGTGTGGTTTGAGACATGTTATAAGAGTGACATACACATTGGATTTCAAGGACTTAGTATTAAAAAAAAAAACAACTTCTAGTAATTGTTTATATTGATCTTTTTTTTTTTTTTTTTTTTTT